ACAGACACATAGTCGATACGCTTGCGTCTGGACGTCTCACCAGTGCTGAGCTGTTCACAGACTGCAGGAAATGAATGACGGGCTTTAAACGACTTACTCTACAAATACAGACAGAGAGAAAGAGATAACTCACAATTGTCAGGACAGTCTACGAGGATTCATCATGTCTCAAATCACTGCAGTCTCTGAATCACAACTGATGTACAGTACAGAGTGACGGTGTAATTTTTCCTGGATAATTTTGATACTCTGGAAAAAATAAGAGAGCCTATGAGTTCTCTGGATTTGTCATTAAAGGTACATTATTTGAGTACAATGTTAATTTGTGTTTTATTCTATGAACTACTGATAATGTGTCTTTAGAATTTCAGATTAGAATATAATCAATTACAGTATTTATTTGGCAAAATGATAAATGGTGACACTTTTGAAAATTTCTGTAGGTTAATGTATTTACTAAAGTAAACAAGCAAGGAGCATTATATTTAATACAGTATTTATTCAACTTTGTTAACATTCTTTGTTAGTTCTTATTAACTCACAGTGCATTAACTAATGTTAACCATCATTTGATGTAAACTATTTCTTGATGAATATTTTTTGTATGCTGTATTATTCAGTATTGTTCATTTTTTGTTCATGTTAAATTAACTAACATCTACTAATCTAACCTTATACCAGAGCACTTGGAATCAAAGTTGTAGGTCCTATTCTCTCTCCTTGCATACTGCAACAAATCCTAGGTTTTTTTCTTCTTCTTGTGATCCCAACACAAATCAATCAAGTTAACTTTATTGTTTTTCCAAAGTGATAAATAAAGTAATAAATACACATACATATTAAGTATAGTACAAAAATAACGCAACAGTTTGTATCAATAAATTCAAGTTACGACAACATGTAATAAAATTAATTTCAGACAACACACTTATTAAAATGACCAAAAGCAAAATTACCTTTTACTCAATAATCAAAGGCATTTTTACATAGCATAAACTCCATTGTTTAAGTCAAGTACTGAAATTTTTTTATTTTTTTTTATTAAAATTTCAAACAAATTCAGTGTTAAGTACTTATTTACATGCAAGTTTTTAAGTTTAGAACCTTAAATTAAATAGCTGAAATTGTTTAATCTTTTGTTTGTTTTAAAATTGACTGTTTACTGTACATTTAGTTGCTTGTAAGAAATACATTTAACATTTTTGTTTTCTAGTAATTTTTTATTTGTTTTACACCACAGATTTTCATTGTTTTACAAACCAAAAGCATGTACTGTCCCTAAAACCCTATGAAAAATAAAAAACATCAATGTGTGGACTTGAAAATACAAAACAACTTTATTAAGGTGGAAAAATTGAGTTATCAACCCAATTTCTTTGGGTCGCTACAAGTTACATATTGTTTTAAACAAATTGACAGATATTTACCTTTTATTTAGCCACATTAGTTGATGTAATTTTCCTGTTTTGGAAAAACATAATAATAAAACCTAATAAAATTATACTGGCTACTTAAAAATTTTCATCTTATCAGTAGTTTAGTATTTTTTAAGTTACAACAATGCATTAATCTATGTAGTGATAACAGACCTCTTGAGTTATTTTTTTTTAGAGTAAATTCTGATAACATGGGATGTTTTATATTGACCTATTGTTCTGAACTATAGTACTCTTATTATATTTTGATGTCACATTAGAGTATAAAATATATAAAACAAAAAGTTACAATTTGCTTTGATAAACATACCTGTTAATGGCGAATCCCGAGAACTGAGCCTATAATATGCTAGATTCATATTAGTGTCAAAGCTAGTTTATTTGCATGTTTTTTGTCTCACTTGAAATTTTCACTTGATTAAATTACTTGAACTTGCTCGGAGAATGCAATTGAGGTGAATTTGACATGTTTGTAACAAACGTAATCCACATCATTCGTGTCACCATGTGAAAATTTGCCTCTTTTCGCTCATTTGCGCATTGACTTTGTATGTAATCTCCTAGCGTGAATACTTAAATTTGCATTTGGTGTGAACCCAGCATATGTGCTCCTTGCATTGAACTAAAAAGCAGACTTTTAAATTTTTCATAAACCATTTGCATAAGTACAGTTGTTTTATACATTTTATACATATGTTTTATGTGAAAAGTGCATTTGCCTGCCTTCATCTCAGCAGCTGCTGCTCATTTTTAAATCTGAACATGCTCTATATTAAAATGGCATCACTAATGCGGCTATTCATCCATGTAGTCCTTAATCCTCATCAATGGTAATTAAAACAAGAACAATGGTGTTGAATTATTCATTGCTGTTGGAGTGATTAAGAGGTATTAGTTTCTGCTAAATGGGGTCTTGTCGGGGTGCTCCTAAATGGACTGCTTTGACTTCGGTTTCAGATTTCCGCCAGCATTTCTAAATTTCATATCATCCTTTCACTGCCAGTAAAAGAGGGTCCCCGTCAGGACAGAGGCACTATTGGAGTCCTCTGGTCTTTCATTGTTCATTAGTTCATTGTGTCAGGCTGGAGGAATAATAAAGACGTGACTCGACTTCCCCCATTAAACTGTTTCTTTTGGTTAGGATGAGTGCGATTCCCTGGAGGTGTGGGATATATATGAACTCTGTCACAATAGCAAGCAGGTCAAATGAGGAAAATGTTGGCTCAAGTTGCAAAAAAAATTTGTGCTTTCAAACAAAGGCAATTAAATAGATTTTTTGGTCCCACTTTATATTAAGTGGCCTTAACTAATATGTACTTACACAGGAATTGATTGTTTGTTACAATGTACTTATTGTGTAAATACATGTATTTACTGTGTACTTATGCTTGATTAAATACATGTATGCAATTACATGTGTAGTTAACTTTTGTAATTACATTTGTTAATACACTGTTGACCATCCCTTACACCTTAACCTACCCTTAAACCTACCCATACCACCAAACCTGTCCATAACCCAACCTCTATCCCCACTCAAAAGCACCACAAGTGTTCTTAAATACATTATAAACACAGTAAGTACATTGTATTTATTTTTTATGTAAGTACATAGTAGTTAAGAACACTTAATATAAAGTGGGACCGATTTATTTATTTATTTATTTTTTCCCATAAAATAAAGCATTATGATTGACTTTTAGCCCTCATTTGATGCTGTAGATCTATGTATTTATCACATACGCAACAATGACTTGATACTGGTTATTCTAATTCACATCACCTCTACTTTACAGTACTAAATCACCAGATTGCTAGTTAAAGTTAGTTTAACAGTTTTTTACATACATGTAACATACACTCACCAGCCACTTTATTAGGTACACCTGTCCAACCACTCGTTACGCAAATTTCTAACCAGCCAATCACATGGCAGCAACTCGATGCATTTAGGGATGTAGACATGATTAAGACGATCTTTAAAGAGAATAGTCAGAAAAGGAGAAAATATCCAGTGAGCGGCAGTTCTGTGGGCACAAATGCCTTGTTGATGCCAGAGGTCAGAGGAGAATGGCTGGTTTGAGCTGATAGAATGGCAAGAGTATCTCAAATAACCACTTGTTACAACTGAAGTATGCAGAAGAGCATCTCTAAATGCACAACACATTAAACCTTGAAGCAGATGGGCTACAGCAGCAGAAGACCACACCGGGTACCACTCCTGTCAGCAGAGAACAGGAAACTGAGGTTATAATTTACACAGGCTCACCAAAATTGGACAATAGAACATTGGAAAAACGTTGCCTGGCCTGATGAGTCTTGATTTCTGCTGCGATATTCAGATGGTAGGGTCAGAATTTGTTCTAGTGACATAATATAAATAATAAAGCGTAAACGATAACATCCAATCCATCTTCATTGTCAGAGGAGAAAAATTACAATACAATCTCTGCATTTTACTACACACATTTTGCATAATTTAGCTGTGGCGTCATGCATTAATGATGAACAGGAGGCTTAATTGAGGCTGTGATTTAGAGAGATGGCAGATAACGTTTCCAAGATTAAATTGGAAATGGGTGATGAATTCCTAAAGGCTTCGGTTGTCTTCGCTTAGCAGACTTTCACTGTTGCTTTCAATTACACATCAAAATCTTTATTGCAAAAAAGCAGAAAGCTCAGGCAGTGATGAGTCTTTCTGGCTAAGGTTTCAGTCCTCTGTTTAAATTACATTTAGAGATAAAAGATAAACGAGACTGCTGAACTGACGGATGCATTGACTATTTCAGGCATTTAAGATGGAAAGCTTGACCTGTTTTGGGATGTTTGCCACTTTCAGGGAATAAAAATAAAAGTAGCATTAATATTATATTGAAATTGATTTAATTGTAAATCAAATGAGCTGTTGATGTTATTTAAAAGCTAATAAAATCCTATCCGCTTATTAAGTTGTGACATGCAATACTGTTTCTAGATACAAAACTAGACTCATTTGAATTCTCGATAGTTATTTATGAACACTTTATATTCATATCACACATTAAAAGCAAATCTTTTCTAAAATCGTGGTCATTAACTTCAGTTTCTGAACTTGCTGCTTTCCAGACACCATTATTTTAACCAAAATATAAATTACATCTCTGACTATCTGAGATTTAGCATAGATATAAACATTGCAATCATGGTTTTTCAATAGTATTTTCTCACAAAGTGAGCAGTATGTAAATACTATTTGTTGTTAATTTTGGCTCATTTTGAACCCTGAAAAATGGACCAAAAATAAAAAAAAAGTGTAATTATTTATAAATCGTCCACTGTTGTTGAACACAAAAGAAGATATTTTGAAGAATGTTGGAAATCACCAGCTATTGACATCCACAATAGGAACCAAAATACTATGAAACTCACTCTGAAAATCTTCGTTTGTGTTCAACAGAAGAAATAAACTTCTGAGAATGAGTAAACAGAATTTTTCTTTTTGGGTGTACTATTGCTTTAACGAGCCGATATTACACTTCTTAGTCAAGTATGACACCCTGACCTCTCTGTATTCTTCATTTGCAGACATCCCGTTTAGTGGGACTCCACCTCCAGCTTATGTTTACGATGGCGATCGCGGGGATGACCAGCGTTTGCAGTCTGACATTGTGTCCTACTCTGACGACCCTCTGTTCTCTCCTCGCCTTCACCCGAAGGGCCGAAGCATTAGAGAGACTCCTTCATCGGGGTCCCCAGAGTCTACTAAATCAGTAAGATACTAGCTTTGATCGGTTGTTTGACACCAAAAGTTATTTTAAACATACACATTATTTGGTGGATGGCAAAACCGACAAAACAAAATGAACACAGGCATTAATTATGTTTTGTCTTTATATGTACAGTATATGTTTAATTGTTTTGTTCTATTGAATCTCAAAGTGCTTTAAGCTATTAAGTTGCATTTTATGAATCACCAAGATTCATCAGCTATCAATCTTCATCTAATTAAGCATCTAATTGAATCTAATGTTCTACTGAAGATAATGATGGAAATGAAATGAGGGTGAGTGAAAGAGCTCATTTTCATTTATGGGTTTTTTCTACTTCAGCTTTTAAGAGCCCTTTAATATTTATGCTTCCATGTAAACTTGTGTACGATCTGAACTTTTGACCCCTGTATCTCTTATCTTTATTCTTTGGGTTGTCTCATATCAGCATATAGGATTATGTTGTCCATAGCTGACATCTGTAAAGCTGTACATGAGCGGATTTGAGGTTTTACAAGGATTTACCCTGCTGAGGAAATTCCTATAGTCTGGTACGGCATGTGTGTTTTTGGCTGAACCCTAAATGCGTTTGTGCTTTTCTTCAATCTCTCACTCTGGACATTCCCAGTCGGAACTAGATGCGGAAAAAGGCCTGGAGATGAGGAAATGGGTGTTATCTGGGATCCTGGCCAGTGAAGAGGCCTATCTCAGCCACTTGGAGGCGCTCTTAGTGGTGAGTAATGCAGTTTTCCTGCGTCTGTTTTACTGCCAGGTTTCTCACTAATAAGGGTCAGAGGTCAATGTTCTAATACTGCTGAGGTTTGCAGATCACTCTCCAGATGGACCCTCTTTGACCCCTTGTTTTTCTTCACAGCCCATGAAGCCCCTGAAAGCTGCTGCCACCACCTCTCAGCCCATGCTAACCCTCCAGCAGATAGAAACCATTTTCTTCAATGTGCCTGAGCTCCATGAGATACACAAAGACTTTTATGATGGTCTGTTACCCAGAGTGCAACAGTGGAGCAACCGCCAATGTGTGGGCGACCTCTTTCAGAAACTGGTAAGCTGTGATTTTCTATTTGGTCTGTTATAGGGCTGCAACTAACGATTCTTTTAATAACTGATTAATCTGTCGATTTGTTTTTTTATGATTAATTGATGAATCGGATAAAAAAGTGCAAACATGTCCTTAAACATCCCTGAGCTGTTATAATAATAATAATAATTAAATAAAAGCTAACTTAGAAGTTTTGTCCTGTTTTCAATCCAAATATCTCAAAAATATTAAATCAAGATACAAACAAGACAGATGAAACAGCAGAAGAATTTGTCTTGTTTTCTGAAAAAAAAACCCACCTCAGAATTAAGTGATTGTTTGCTTTAAACAAGCAAAAATAGTTGCCAATGGAGTAAGAAAAATAATCTTAATGAGATATAATCTTAAAGAGAGGTGTTAAGCATCAAGAGAAACGCTTTGTGATGCTACAGGTAGAACAAGACTCAACACTGTGTGTGTGCAGGTGTGGTGTATTTATAGTCCATGTAATCAGTTTATCATGATCCTCTGGCTGTGTGTATGTAATCAATGTAAAACAGGAACAGGTGTGTGTGAGGTGCATGACAGGATTTATAGTTTGTGTAATGGCAGAATTGTAGTCCAAGTAAAAGTTAAGATTCTTCAGCGATCTGCCGTAGTTTTAGGGTAATAAAGCAACCCAACACTGGGAAATGCCCATACACACTCTTTCATACACTATGGCTAATTTAGCTAATTTAATTCACCCGTACTTTGGACTGTGGGGGAAACCGAAGCACCCAGAGTAAACCCATGCGAACACGGGGAGAACATGCAAACTCCACACCGAAATGTTAATTGACACAGCCTGGGCTCGAACTAGCGACCTTCTTGCTGTGAGGCAACCGTGCTATCCCCTGCACCACTGTGATACCCCGGGGCTAATAATACTTTTTTTTTGACTAAAACTTTCATTTTAGCCAACACTTGTCTAAATAAATACAAATAAAATCCTTAATTTAAATTAAAATGCAATTTTCTGAATTACTGTCTTACAAAGTATGGTATGAAAATTCTATAAAAAATTATTGTTATTACAATAAATTATTAGTGTTGTTGAAAGATATTCTGATATCAGAGTTGTTGACAACAGTGTTGTTGAAAGATATTCTGTAAGGATGGGACATATACAATTACATAATGAAAATATACATTTAGACATTTAGATATACATATAAATATATACAATTACATAATGAAGAAATCTGTAACAAATAACCAATAACCAGTGTTACATGTATAAATAAATGTGTGCATTTTTATGTGTTTACATTCAATTTTGTTGACTATTTCAAGTGGTGAAAGGCTTGAGCTCCACCTTTTTTGCACTTCTTCTACGAGTGATGTCACTGGGGGTAGGGTTAGGGGTGGGGTTGGTGTACGCATTAAAACAGCTTAAAGGAGGAGGAGCGACAGATCATGCTCCCCCTCGCTGGAGCTCAGCTCTCCTCAAATGGCTCTGCAGCGAGCACCCTCTCAACTATTTGTTGACTTTACAGCAAAATATGTGAATAATGAATTAAACTGAAACATTACTTAAAATCTAATAAATATTTATTTTTATTTATAGACACTATTATTTGTCCTCCTGTGAAATGTTTATGATTTTTTGCAAGTGATGTTTAACAGAGCAAGGACAATTTTCACAGCTTCGAGAGACTTGTTTCTTTTAACCTTAAGTCTTTAAACTTTAACTTGAAAATAGTTATTAACTATTTTGTTAAAAAATATTGAAAAAATCTTCTCTCCATTAAACAGCAATTGGAAAATAATTATACCAATAATTCTGCTCTCAACTGAATATAATATCATAATAAATGGATTGCTCATACTGCCTACCATATGCTCTGTTATTAAAATGGCTGCTTCTGTTAACTAATAATATGCTTGTGTTACTGTTAATCATCATAACATCTGAATTATCCCCTCTCTCGCTGCCACATGCACGTGTTTAATTCGAGTAATCCATACATGATGTTTCTGTCAGACCACCGAGAGAGATTTTTGGGAGACGGTTTATAACGGCAGTCATCATCAAAGCATGTCTCAATGCTGCTCCCTAAGGAAACGTTCCTTTGATAAGTGGTTTAGTGAGCTTCACGAGCTGCAGCCACATCATTCCATTCAACACAATTAGCTGTGGAAACTGAAACTTTACCCCCATCTTTATAGATGCCCGCAGGACTTGATGCTCACGCAGATAAAAGCTTTTCAGAGCTCCATGACTGCATGTAAAGCAGACAGGGGGTCCTGCTCTGAGATCAGTGGGGCTGCGCTTAAAAATGCTGGGCTTGAAAGGTGTTCGGATGTTGTAACAAGGGGTGTAGATCAGGTTTCTTTGCAGTATTGGTTTTTATTTGAATTGCATGTTTTTCCTTAGAACGAAGAGCATTAAAGACAAAAATCCCTTTTATAAGAGGTATGCGCACAGTTGTGTGGCAACCGTGTATGAATATAGCCAGCCTCTAATGGTAAAAATGTATTAATTTTATTTTTTAGAATCACACTTTGTAAAAACAAAAAGAAAAAAAACAGAAAGGCCCAATTCTACCCGTTACCCATTCTCCTCACCCCTCGTTTTGCCCATTCATGTGAAGGGGTAGGGGTGTCCCAATTCTCTTTAGCTTAAAGGCGTAGGGTTAAGGGGAAGGGCTAGATAGCCCTTGAAACTGATATTTTTCTGATATTTTTTCGAAACCAAGGGATACGAAAATTCGCCAGAATACATCGTCTAGAACGGCAGCATGGCTGCACACAGAAGTATTTTTTTTTTCATCACTGCGAATTTTTACAACAAAAAGGCATATGTTTTAATACATTTATATAGACATTCATGATTTACTGTCATGCCTTTTTAAAAACCCAAAATAAAAAAACGCTAAATTTTGCTATCTATAATCCATAACAATAACTCTCATACAGTAGAGCTGCACGATTAATCGAAAAAAGGTTGTGATCTTAATCCAGCATTTCCACAGTTATGACAATCATATTTTCAAGTTCAGGAGAGAAGCAAAGGCGGCCGCACAAATCTTCGTTATTTTACATACATTGCTCATGTGTACACCTCCAAATGGTGTTGAAAGAGTCACATACTGTATGTATAAGGTATAATTCACCCAAAAATGTCATTTCTGTCTTCATGTAATGATGTATTCACGGCCGCGAAATCACACTTGATGTGAGCTGACCGTGAGCTGTTACCACAGAGAGGGCATGCGCGCGCCTGTGAATGATGGATGAACAGAACTTGCATAGGCTGTGTAAATAAAAGGTAATAAAGTTGTGAATAACGTTCAGTTTGTGGTACAAAGTGATCATTTAGGAGCTGCGTGGGAAGTATGAACCACATTTAGCAATGAAAATGAAACTGAAAACACGAACATCATTTAAATAATCTTATCACATCGCGTTTTAGAGTTATGATTACGACAAGCATTTAATGTTTTTCTTTCATAGCAAACACAACAGTTTTATGCATAAGAATAAATGTTTAACAGTATGAGTATACTGGAACTACTCTAGTGTCACGATCCGGTAATGGGAAAAAGGAGCGAGGACCCAAGCGCAGAGTAAAGTAGGATTTATTAATAATAAAATAAAATAAAAGGCAAAAATAAACAACCCCGGAGGGGGAAAACACTACTACAACAAACAATTAAACAAACAAACAAACAAACCTTGACTGGGCAGGCACGACAAGGCAGGGCTGGACACAGCAGGACAGGTAAACATCGACAAAATATGATGACAAACTCGCACAGGACAGCAGACATAAGGGGTTTATAAACTGTAGGAAATTAACACAAAAACAGATGAACATAATTAACTAAAAATGGGTAAACAAGGAGGGTGGGACAAGACAATAGACGGGAGAGCGCATGACACAGAGAGACAACACAAGCCATGCGCTCACATAACAGGACAAGAACATGCAGCCAATGAGAAAACTCATTAACCGCATGTTCATGACAACAAACACAACACTGAAGCACACGACAAAAGCACGTGACCACAATGTAAACACAGAGCCACGTGCTTTGACAACAGATGCAAGACACGAGCACACGATGAATGAAAACACTCACCGTGCGCTCACACACGCAGCGTGCATGCTTCATCCCAGCGCCGACCAAAACCGAAACCAACAAGACTGAGACGCTGGGAATGAAACACCACGCTGCAGACAGACGAAAACACAAACACGAGTACAAGAGCGCACGCGCCTGAGGGACGCAGAACTCGCGCGCGGCCGCATCAAGCAGGAGCGCGCACACTCTGCGTACACCCACGACGACGCGCGCGCACACAGAGACAGAAACCGGACCAGACATGGGTAGTGTCCGAGCTCTGCCACCAAAACAAGAATTTACAAGACCAGAGTGGCAGAACCCTGACATCTAGCCTATATAATGTTTAATATAATGCAAGAGGGAATCTGATATTGACAAATGTCTCATTTTACCAGTAGAAAAAAATGGTCTAGTAATGTTGTCATTGACAGATTGCATATCTCAAACATAATTCAACATCAGAATTATGAATAGTTGTATTCTGATGTCATCTCTGTGCAATAATGACCAAGACAAATTTAAAGTCTGTTCAAGTCCACCATTTCAAGTCTATACAAAAGTTAACATTTTAACCAACAGTAGAGCTACACATATTATTATTGTTGCTTTACCATATGTTTGAGAAATAACAATAATAATAGCCTGTTCATATTAACCTTTATTTTACATCTATAGAATTGTGAGAAAATTGTGATCTTGATTTTTAACCAAAAACCATGATTCTCATTTTAGCCAGAATCGTGCAGCTTTATCGTACAGTCCCACAACATACTTTCACATCTGTCACTCAGTGACACTTAGATACCCTGTCAGAATTTTCTAGTGGCTGGGAATTAGTTTTTCACAGTGTCTGGTATAATGTTAATGTTGTTTTCATGTGTTTAGATGAATATGGCCACGATAAATATAAAA